CTCCTGTGTACCTGTGTTTACGGCTGCCCATTTGAGATTAAACTCTCAGGGAGCCAGTCCCTGGAGAAAACAGATTGTCCCTCCCTCAATATCCACTGATTGCCTGAAGCTCTTCATCCTGAGGAGGGGCCCCTTGACCCCCTCCCCATCCACCTTGGCATCTCAACTGATTTTGTCATTATACAGATTTTGTTAGGCTACCATACTGCAGAGATTTCATGAGTGTCACAGAATGTACAGAATGTATTATCTAGCAACAGAAGTCCTGTACCTTCAGCTCCTACAATCTTTCTGTCTCTCCTCTACTGTGATGTTCCCTGAACCTTAGATGTAGAAGTTGCATTGTAGATGCATCAATTAAGGCTGGACACCCCACAATCATGTATTCTCTGCATTTTTGACCAGTTGTAGAATTTTATAATAGTCTCCATTTGTTATGAAAAGAAATTTCTTTGATGGTTGGTGAGAGTCCCTCTATCTGTATATATAAGGAAAAGTATTTAGATTATAGTGAGAAATGACATTTGTTCAGGAAAGTGGCGGCAGTAAGTTCTTCCTTAGGGTCTGTGACCTTTCCAAGCATGTGTGCTTGATTATGTTTATAGCACCATGCATGAATTCCTTCCTATTGAGTGTGCCTTAAGTCCAATTAGATAGCTGTTGATTACTACAAAGATAAAACTGCTATTATGACACAAACAGAGATATTTTGCTGGGTCGGTCATTGAGGTTGGTAGACTTTGCAGCTGGGTAGGACAATTGACTCCTTTTCTTCCTTGGAAGCTAGTATAGTACTTTCTTGATTCTATGAGAGCTAGTCTTCAGGGAGGCTTAAAGGTCAGTTCCAGCTCAATTACTCTAAGTCCTATGTTCAAAATATGTTGCTGTTTTCAGCCACAAGATCTTACATTTAAGTTCAGGGAGACCTACAAGGGTTATGAAGTAGCCTAAATTATTTTGGATATCTCCTGCCCTACCTTAACCAACACCGTTAAAGGAGGTTTCCCTTGCATGGTACTATGATATTTGTTATATAACCTTCAGTTATACACATACACTCACATATATGTGCATTTTTAGTAGGTATATGAAATAATATATTTCCCTATTGTTTTTCACACTACCCATTAATCTTTTTTCTCCTTCTCCCCCTGTAAAGACTCATCTCTCACCTCCCTAGGTAATATACCCTCATTTTCCTCTTGATATCAGCTATGTCCTACTATTCTCCTCTCTTGACATCCTTCTTCCTCTCTTTCCTCCCATGTTCCTTTCTGCTTTCCTGGCTCCTGTAGTTATATCAGATATATGCCCAATCTAAAGAATCAGAATACTTTCAAGATCAAGAAAATAAAAGACTAAGAAATTCAACTAAGAGAAATTTTGAACTTTCTATTTTTAGGGAATTTTGGAAGACAAAGGCTAATCTGAAAACTAGAATAGAGAGAATGCTTTGGATACAGTTTTGAATTTTTTGATTACTTTGTGATTACTTCCTTTCTTTATTAAAGGTAAAGTATTTCTTCCTGGATTTAAAAATCATGAACACACAGATGGAGAATAAAAGGAATGTGTCAGAATTCATCTTAACAGGTCTTACACAGAACCCCCAGATGCAGAAAGCAGTGTTTGTGACCTTCCTGGTTCTGTACCTGGTGACACTTTCAGGCAACCTGCTCATTGTGGTCACCATCGTCAACAGCCAGCTCCTGAGTTCCCCCATGTACTTCTTCCTGTGCCACCTCTCTATGATCGACACAATTTACACTTCTTCTTCTGCTCCTAAGCTGATTGTGGACTCCCTTCAAGAAAACAAAGTCATCTCCTTTAATGGATGCATGGCTCAAGTCTATGCAGAGCACATATTCGGGGCTGCTGAAATCATCCTCCTGACAGTGATGGCTTATGACCGCTATGTGGCTGTCTGCAAACCTCTGCACTACATGACCATCATGCACCACAAGCTATGCATCCTGCTGGTAGGAGTGGCCTGGACAGGAGGATTTCTCCATGCAACCATTCAGATCCTCTTCACAGTCTGGCTGCCCTTCTGTGGCCCTAACATTATAGACCATTTCATGTGCGACTTGTATCCTTTGTTGAAACTTGTCTGCATGGACACTCACACCCTTGGTCTCTTTGTTGCTGCCAACAGTGGGTTCATTTGCCTGTTTAACTTCCTCCTCTTGATGGGATCCTATGTGATCATCTTGCGCTCTCTAAAGAACCACAGCTTAGAGGGGAGGCGGAAAGCCCTCTCCACCTGCATGTCTCACATCACTGTAGTCGTCTTATTTTTTATACCTTGTATATTTGTATACCTACGCCCAGTGACCACTCTGCCAGTTGATAAAGCTGTTGCTGTCTTCTACACTATGGTGGTCCCTATGCTAAATCCTTTAATCTACACTCTCAGGAATGCTGAAGTAAAGAATGCAATGAGGAAGCTCTGGGGAACAAAAGTGACTTCAGATAGTAATTAAACATATCATTGATCATTACATATAGAATATAAAATATGTCCAACTTTCTTGTTTTATGCTGAGCATGTCAACCATAATGCAAAGTTGCTTAGTACTTGCAAATAAGCTTAAACAGGCTTTAATTTAGATTCATTTTTACCTTTGTTGTTGCAATACATTGCTTTTTAATCAGCAAATATTTATAAAGTAACTGGGAATCTAAAGTATCTCTACAATCTAGAAATCATGACTCTACACTAGTGAGTTGATATTAAAATAATCTGATGTAATACTGAGATGTTGGTTATTTCTGATTATTGAAAATAACATGTTGAATGATATCCTTTTACTCTGAACTCCAGTCTCTGCATGAATTCTTTGTTTTGTGGATTCTATTGTCTTTTAGATTTTGGTTATATAATACCAGAGTAGTGGTGCACATGTTTAATCCCAGTACTCAGGAGGCTGAGGCTGGTGGGTCTCTGTGAGGCTGAGGCCTGGCCAGTCTATATGGTGAGTTCCAGGGAGACTGTCAACAAAATATATTTGGTTGTGTAGCAAAAGGAATCACTTTTTATCTTATGCCTACACGACTGGCATTGCTTCATATTTTGTCAGCCAGTATCCAGTTATGAGACAGGCTACATAGGTTCTCTGATTTTTACAGGTAAAGTTAACACACAATGAATAGTTTTATTAGATAATTAATGATAAATGATAAAATTGCATCCTGTGATTATAAGATGAATATCTAAAAAAGGGACATAATTTGAAAGTAGGCTTCTACCTGAACACTGAGATTTCTATACTTGTAAAAGATGTAACTGTCATCAAGTGAATGGTGAAGTTTATTATGTTTTCTTGGATCAGAACTAGTTTATGAAGGTTGTTTTAGGAACTTGTGTGATATTGGGAAGCTATGAACCTTACACTGGGATGGCAGGGGTCAGAGACTGGTGAGCAAGGAGCTTTGTCTTAGATTGAGAGACATGCCTATCAAACTGCCAACATGCAAATTCAGGAAATTGATGGGTTCTTATGAGATTCACTGGAATCTACTTACAAAGACATCACTAAACTTTAATGAAAACTACTAATGAAGATGTTTATGAAACTCAATGCAATTGGCTTCATTGGACATTTCCCCTTTAACATACACACTGATGGAAACTAGAGTCAGAATGAAATGTAGGCAGAAACACATTGACATCAGCAAGCGATATCCCTTTCATTGTGTGAGAAAGATTAACATCCGAATACTGGCTCAGGAGAGAAATGCTTATGAGGTCTGTTTTGTGTAATATGGAGCTCACAGCAAAGGATGTGTTTGGAAAGGAGAAACAATAAATAACTGATGGGACTCCTGACAGGACTCCTATATTACACTCTACACACCCAGGGCTCAGGGAATACTGTGGAAGAGGGGGCAGAAATATTGTAAGAGCCAGGGGTGGTGCATGACCATATGGAACAGTCTTACAGGCTTCTGGGACCTTGCTCAGATTAACCTACAACAATGATGTCAGCATGCACAAGACCCATGCACACTCAAGAAGACAAAAACCAAGCATAGAATTAGGGAAATGGTCAGGAAGCCCCAATCTTAAATGAGGAACTATTGGTAGCTTATTACTGCTGGGTGAGGGAAAGCTGATCTTTAAGGGGGTGACTCTAGATAGGCTGACTAGAACCCAGTGGATAAACTTGCACTGAGGGACATCTGGCTTCACTAACTTGACTTGATAGGCCTTAACATAAATGACAGAATGCATGAAATCCAGTGGGGAGTGGGGCTATTGGAGGATACCAACGGGGGAAGAGGCATAAAGATGATTAACGGTTTGGACGAAATGCACAAAAATTCAATAAAATACTTTGAAGAAAAAAAGTAGCTGATGCATAAAAACTTTATCCTTACATGTTGCAACGCATCATTTTCTCCAGGACTTTAAAGTTCAATATGACAGAATTTTACAGATCCTCACATTAATGTCAGAATTGAGAGATAAATTGAAATATGATTCCTTTTCCTACACCTGTTCTGGTCATTACACAGCTGCACGTAAAAACAACATCTCTTTGAAACTTGGCATAGGTAGCTGAAATTTTTTTCAATTGTAAAAGCTAAAATGATTAAGGGCCTACCTGAATGAAATATTTGTACAACTTAATTTGTGATAATTCCATATCATGTTTTTGTAATTAGGCATATGGTGGTATTTTATTAATCCTCTCACTGAATATGCATCGACAGAAGATGAACCAGTACTTGAAGACAGCTTTGTAGAACTGATTTAAATGCTGCTCCTACTTGAAATTTCAAGTGAATTTCAGGGTTACTAAGTCTAATACTTTAGTGTTAGGGAGCTAATCATAATTCCTTTGTCAAAAGGCTGATGAAGCTATAGGACTAAGCAGCAGAATGTGGGACAGGAAAGGACTAAGAAGGCAGGGATAGAGAGAAATAAGAAACAGGAACTTACACTGAAGGACATCTGGGGACATGAATTTGTGACTCAATAGGTACAACAGACACAAATGACAGAATGCATGACATCCAGGCCGGGGGGGGGCGGCTATGGTGGGGTGCCAGTGGGGAAGGGGATATAAAGATGGTTAAAACTTTCTGTATGAAATACACAAAATTTCAATAAAATTTTACAAAAAAAATCAAAGAAATGAAAGACAATCAGAAACAATTTCCTGAAGTAAACATTTAGATCAAGAAACAACAACAACAACAACAAAAACCAAACAGATACCATCCAGGGACAAAACTAGAGCTGGTATTCAAAGATGAATGAAAATTCAGTCTGACAGAAGGTTAAAACCTATGTAGAACAGCAATACAGATTTCTAACACCAAGGTGCCTCAGTGATGGGTAGAAAATGAAGCCTGGAGATGTTGCTGGGGCATGACTCTAAAGGGCTTTTCAGCTCATTCTCAGTTTCTGAGGCAATTAATGTAGATACTCAGTATAGATAAAAAGGAGGTCAGTGTTTATATTTAAAAAGTTATAGAGTTCTTTCTTGAGCATGTCTAGATCATTCTGGAAATGATCATTAGCTAGACGAAGATGATTCTATGCATACTGCACTTCCTTGTTTCTGCTTTATCTTCTGCTCCCATGGGATTCCACTCCTCATATTATAGGACAGATACTGAATTTTTATGGAAAATGATCAATGGAATATCTGATCTTCTGTTGCAATTCCATGTTGATATCTTCTAGACCACTATGCTCCCGTCTCCTGATCATTCAGCATGTTTTCTGTACTTTTAAAAGGCTAATTATTGTCATAAGTTGGAGATAAGCCTAACTATACACAATTTGTATTTTTATGAAAAATATGTTT